TATATGACCACGAATTATAAGAGAATCGATTTAAAAAAAATTATATTTCATAAAATATATAAAATTTATTCGTGATCCTAATCATATATATTTCTTAATTTCGAATTATTATATATCTTTCAAAAAAGAAATTTCAATTCTAATTACGAATGCTCAAATTATCAGAATAATATATAAATATAATTAAAAAATAGAAATTTCTAATATATATGATATTATTAAAATCCTAATAGATCTAACATGATCATTCTATATTAAAACATGAGATATATTCGTTACTAGTTTATAATTTAATTTCGTAGGAAATATATCAAATCATCTTGCTCAAAGAATCTCGTCGCAATCTTATCATCCTGCTCTAGCTTCATCTTATTTAAATTTCTTATGATAATTTATTCATATCTTAGATTAGATTAAGGTCATAAATTTATATTTATTTCATCCTGCATTATTATTTTTTTTATATATTAGAAAAAAAAATATTCTCTATATAATATATTAAAATATATGAATTCCTACCTAAATTGAATATAATCTTATTAGATATTAATATTTATATGCATATTCGAAATATTATTCAATCTTTATCTCTGGGATATTAAGAAATTCGAATTCTATAATATTATTATGAATCCATCAAATACCGACGATCCCAAATTCGCGGGATTTTCGGGGGTGCAGTATTTTATTGAATATATATTCAAAAAATATATATATATAATATCTATATATATATATATCTATTCATTCATATCTTTCGATAATCTATTTTCGTATTATTAATCGTTTTATTATCCGAGATTTTCTTATATTATATTAAGCATAAAGGTATTGTTATCTAATCGGTTCGTGCAGAATAGTTTATCTTTTATTATGCGACTTGGGCGGCCCCGTCCCAGTACATCTGTTGAAGGAGAACCTTTATATCGATGTATTTTTGGACTGCTCTCAAATTTTTATGATAGGTTCTGTCGGTAACTAGCTTTTTCCGTGCCAACTCACTTCGTATGCCGCAAAATGCTGCGAGTAATTGCAAACCTCCGGTGCCGTTGTACGTCAAAGCCAATAGTGCTTTGCCTTCAAACAAAACGCAACATGATGTTGCTCTCGTCCTGATTCTCGCCGTTCCCGCAAGTCGGCCTCGCTGGTGGGACTTCCCTCTTCTCAACTGCCTCCAAAGCAACGGCCTCCTCGAACTCAGCGTCCTGTGCATCTTGTAGCTCGTGTGGGAGTGAAGCATCGTGTAGCAGCAGTGAACCAGGTGTGCGGTGTGCCAGCCACTCTCCAGCCCAGCGTGACTCATCGGACTTCAGGCATGCTAGGGGTGCACTGGTACCAACCATGCCATCGTTGTATGCATCTGGTGCGCGGCCCGCTACCATCCAAGCACCAACAAGCGGCAAAAAGGGAGCATCGCTGGTTGCAACTGGCCCCCCCGACACCGATGCCAGCTGCAGAGCAAGGTGCATGTTGTCTGGCGAGCCCATGGCGTTCAGTAATGTAGCCGCGGAAGATAGGTCCGCTGGAGGCTTCCCTGGCAACCCCACGCGAAGGTAAAGAGAGATCTGGTGTGTGGCGGCAGCCTTGGCGAGACGTGCGCCAACTGATGCAAAGTCAGCCAAACACTGTGAGCTCGAGTAATAATTCTCGGGCGTCCGGTGGAAGGCCAGGATGGCATGGGAGGAGAAAGATCCATTGGGGCGGTTTGGAGCATCACCGTGCACAGCAGAGGCCATCTTCCGCATCACAGCCTCAACACGCGCTATGCTGGCCTCATACTGAATGGCACTGTTGTTGCAAAATCGCAGATCCGGGTACAAGTTTGCACCGCTGGAGAAGTCGACCACAACCCGCAGTCTTTGCCGAATGGCCCATGCAGCATCTTCGACAAGTGCCGCTTCTTCGCGAATTTCGACGTAACGCCAATCCACCACGATGGTGTCCCAGTGCTGAAAAAAGGAGGGCCGGAGCAACACCTGCTCAACCAAGCTGCCACCACCAACCAGCGGCAAGCCACGCTTGCTGGGGAGTGGTGGAGGTGCTTGCGGCTGAATTATCGACTCCTTCTTCTCTTTCACTTTCACTGAAAAGATGCGCTGGCTCAATCCAGCGATGGCAACTGAACTGTCGCTGCCGCAATCAACTCCACGGGGCGTGTGCGTGGGTGTGTACCCTGGCGTTGAGCATTTTGCCACCGAGGCGTCATCAAGCTGAACTTCATCCACGGACATGACGGGACCTAGACCACTCTTGATCTCGAAAGGACGCTGGGAAAGCTGCGTGTTTGCTACAGCGACCAAGTACTCACCCTCTCCACGTCGGGTGGCCACCACGCTGAGCCCAGGACTTGAAAGGTCCTCCACCTGGAATACAGCCTGCTGTGTAAATATTTCCTGCAATATGCTCCGAGCATGCTGCGCAAGTGGGAAAGGAATTGGCAGCTGCTTGTCAATTGCTTGGCTTATAGAGGACGACAACGGCAAGGCCACCTGGCTCGTGCTTGCCACACCGGAGGATGCCAGCACTAACAAGCGGCCAACACCAATATCAGCTGCAACAGCGAGTGTATGCGAACCTACTGATGCAATTACTCGAGTCTTGGAGCCGGAGCCCCATTGAAGTGGACATACTTTCAATGGCACGGTCTCTTTGATTTGCTTTGTTGGCGCAGGAGGGTCTGAGATGCTTTGCAGTGTCACACTGGATCCAGCTGCCAAGCGTCTGCAATCCGACCTACCAAGAGCCACAACACTGGTCCACGACAGCGTGCGGAGAGAGTCAATGGTGATGACTAGTATGCCCCCTGAGGCAACATAGGCCTCCAATTTGCCAGCAACCTCACTGCGCATGCTTCTTAAAGCCGACCCCACCACAACCACTGGGTAACGTTGTAACAGCCACAGTGGTGCATCCGACAGCAACACGTCAGCAGCATCACCAAATGGAGTGGGCGTCAGAAAGCCCGACTCGTTGTGAAAATAGCTCGCAGTCTCGTAGCCTGGGTACAACACATTCAAGACGCCATGCGTCCAGAACTCTGCCTGCTCCCACGGGAGGTTACCCCACACACGGAAGGCAACTCCTTGGTACAAGTGCCGTGGAGGTTGAAAGCCAGCATAGTAGTCCAGCAAGATTGCGAACTGTGTGATGTGACTGCCAATGCCGGCCTGGATGCTGCCGCCAGTGGCCATTAGCTTGTCTACAAAAGATTTCCCTGCCTTCTGGATGATGCCAATCGGACTGAGCCGGGTATTGTTGGGTCCACATGTCCAGCCAGCCTCGAAAGAGAAGATAGCCGAGTTATACAAGAGCTGCTGGTACATGAGTGCCCGCAGAAGAGCCAGCGAGGTGCCTTTCTCTGAGCAGATGCAACTGCTACAATCCTTGGGACCCTCCGGTCCCCACCAGCGATTCCCGACCGAAGCATCCCCCCAAACTCGCAAGCCGTACTGCTTGGCGGCACCACGGAGGAAGGCATAGAAGATCTGGTCATTCGGCAGGCCTTGAGCAGTTTCGGCACCCAACAATGTGTAATAGCCAGTGCGTGCATAGTAATGAGGGTACCAAAGGCTGTTCAAGCTCATCAACCTGAAACCGAGATCGTCTGCCATCCTCTCGAAGTGGTGTGCAAAGTACAGGAAGCCTTGTCTCAACTCGTTTGGCCGTGCTGTGACCGCACC